TTCATTATTACAAAATTGCAATATTAAAAAGTAATAATCTTAACATGGCCTTAAAAAAGTTGCTATAAAGTAAGTTCAGATTTTCCTTTTTCATAGCATGACATTTTTTCTTTTAATAAATGAATAAATTAAGCTCCCCTTTAACGAAATAATTGCCATATCAGATTGCTTGGACGTGTTTTTAAAATGTGATATTTTTGTTTTTTAAAAAAAGGTTTTTTACAAGTGTATAGGGTATTCAAAAGATAAGAATTCCTTACTCAAGATGGCTGATTTGTGTAAAGGTAGACCATAAGAAATATTTAGGGACAATGACTGACAGACCACAAGGTCTAATAGAGAATATTGGCAGAGCTTGCTGAGAAAACCTTGTCTGTAGTGAATTAGTCTTGTCTGAGTGTAGTATTGAAATAATTCCTGGAGTTAAGCTTTGCGTCTGCTTAAATACGTGTAGCAAGATTTATTTTCTCATCTAAAAATGAGCTGAAAATTTGTGATTTGTTTATTTTATTCAGCTTATTTAGTATGTTACCTAATGTATCTCTTATCTTACATGAAATAAATGCTTAAAAAACACTTTGTTCTTTATTTTTTTAAAATTGTATCTTCAATTCTGTTGTCTAATTTTGTTAGTGTGTTCACATAATCAAATTGTAATTAATTTCTAATAAACTAATATTTGAATACATCATAGGGCAACTTTTTTTCTTTAGAAATGACTATAAACTATACCTTTTGAACTACCATTTAGTTTAAAATCTTTAACAGCCATATATATTAGTTTCATACATCAAAGAAAAAAAAGAAAGAGATTCTAAATTGGAAAAATAATCTTCATAATCAGATCATTTAAACTCAAACAGTGACACATTTTAAAGTTAGTCTACAAAAAAACTGTATAATTGTCATTGAATAACAGATACTTTTTAGGTAGTATTTATTTTGCAGAAAAAAATCACTTATAAATTTTTCACATTTGATGTGTTTGACAGAGCAAGTCACTTCATTTATTAGTAGCATTTAAAATAACTTAAATACCTTTTCATATATTATTAGTGGCCTATTCATAACCACACTCCTTTATTTTTTATGCACATTAATTGCCACTTCAAAAATTATATCTTGGCAAGAAACCAGACAGCGATGTTAAAATATACATTTTGTTGCATTTATTTACTAAGTGTTTTTCGTCTTCAAGTATTTAAATGTGTATAAAAAATAATCTTTGATCAAAATAGATTTTAAAACTAACAGTTCTAAATTTCGAAAACAGTATTTTCAATTGAAATCACACAACCGAAGCAGATTAAATTAGTCCAATTATAAATTCTTAAAGTCTATGGCCAAAAAACTACATTTTTGTTGTTAATTACTTCTACTAGTGATTTCTTTCCTATCTTTAGAAGACGAACTTTGTAGGAAAACTTAATTTTTGAAAATGGTTTTGAATAAGGAATTTAAAGAAATGAAATATTTATTCATGTTTACATGAGTGAATTTGTAATTCTAAACCATTTTTAGCAAATTATTTTTTTAACCTTCAGCTTTATGTCTATCTTCTTAATAGTAAATGTTTAAAAAAACACTAGAAAATCACAAATTATTTTCAAAAATATCAGAGAATATTCACAATTCTAGAGCTCGAATATGCCACCTAGCAGTGAATCAAGAATTTAATTTAACAGGTAGAGCCAATGGTAAATTCTGGGGGTGGGGGACTTAGGCTGTTGTTCATTTCTGCCGAATTAACATCAATGTTTCATAAGTCACATTCACACTTGAAGGTCGAAGTGATAAATTAGCTATTATTCATATTGGTTAGTTTAAATATTAGAACAGTATAATCCTGATATCTCAAATTTGAAGGGACACTAAAAAAATTTTCAGATAAGCTCATAACTAAATATGTTCCAAAAAGTAGAAAAATATTTTCTAAAATATTACTCTAAAAAGTCATGAAACAAAAGAATAACTGCTAATAAATATGTATGTAATGATTGTTACCTATTAGTCTAAACACAACAATAATTTCATGTTTAAAAGTAAGACAAAACTAACTGTGCATTAAATGAAAATGATTTTTTATTTTTAAAAAAATTTGACATAATGAGGTTTTGAGAAGAAACCCTTCAACATAGGAATTCAAATTAGCATTAGGTGGATGCATATCAAGGAGAAAAATATTTTTTTGACATAAGGTTTTCGATGTATTGAGAGTATACTATAATACACAATTCTCATTGCATCTATTGATGGACCTGCAAACATTTGTACCAATCAGCATATTTAGATGAAATGAAAAGCTTTCTGCAAGCAATTTATTAACTTGCAACCAGTGGTGTAGTTTTAATGTATGTTTTTTTTTTTGGGGGGGGGGGAGTTATCCCCTATCTTCTTTTGACACAAACATATATATAAAAATGTCTATTATATTCACATTAATAATGAAAACTTCTTTATATCAACATCTAACAGACCATGCATTAGTTTGTTAATCATGTGATGTGTAATTTTGGAGGGTGTTCCGTCACTTAAAACTGTGCCACTGCTTGCAACTAGTTTCAACCCATTAATCACTTTTTAATTTTGATGAAATTTCTCCAAAAAAATCACTGATTCTTTCAAAAGTGTTTTGACTTTTTTAAAACTATGTTAGTTGTAATACATACCATCACTTTTTTCTTTAAATTTAAGGAAATTAATTATTTTTGGAACATTGTGATGGTGACAAGTTTTCTGCAAACAGTGTATACAATATGCATATCTGCCAATCAGAATCAAAAAAATTAGTTGCGTTTGAACTTTTCTTCCCCACTAACATTAAAAATACACTATTCAAAAGAATTAAGAGAGCAAGTATATAAAATTAATATTTCATGTGCTCCTTTAATTTTTGTGAACAGTGTATTTGTCATAAGTCGATACAAACTATTTTTTTTTAGACCACTTTACTTTTTTTAAAAAAAAGTGGCACAAGACACTACAAATAAGTAGAAAAAAAAGGAGCAAGTACATTAGTTTCAATGCTTGGAGACTACTACTATTAACATGCACAGGAATTATAGGTTTTTTTCCACATTACAGTAAAACCACTTAGGAAAAAAATAGATTTATGTCAACTCTAGTAGAAAAAATTAAAAAACTCCTTAAAAAAGTTACTCTTTAAATATTTAAACAGATTATAATTGCAGACTAAATGATAGAATTAATATCTAACAATTCCTAAATAAGTGAAAACTAAAAAAAAAAAAAAAAAAAAAAAAAAAAAAAAAAAAAAAAAAAAAAAAAAAAAANATTTTAAAAATTCTGGTAAAGGAATATAAGAAACTATAATATATGTCTAAAACTATATAAACATATAATATATAACTGTTAGAATATATTAAACTTTCATTATTACATTTAAATTGACAGAAAATAGTTATTTTAGATTTAAAGATATAATGAAAACATTTTAGATTATTGGAAATGTTTTGAGATTCAATAACTATTTTTAAATTAATGAACAGAACATATTTTCATACAATGCTGAAACATGTAATGAATTTTTCATTTAAAATTTTATCCCTACTTATATGTGATATTATAGGTAATTTTTAACCTGTTCATCACCTGTAATACATCACTGAATACAGATAACCAGCAACATGTGAAAATAAAAAAAAATTTTAAGGCTACTGAAAATTCCATTAAGTTAACTTGTAATTTAGCTTTGTAAAATGAGTTACAAAGTTTTCATACCACGATAAATGAAGATTCGAATACTTCAGCAGATTCTGAGTTTTTGAAAAATTGTCTGTTACTTTAAGAGCATCTGAAGTAAGTGCTTAGTCAAAATATACCAGGTCTGACATAATCCCATATATTTGATAAGCAGATTAAAACTACTACTAATCAATAAAAACTATCTAAATTACTTTGATTTAAATTGTTCGATTTTAAATATCAATGGAATTTTTTATAAATAAGTAAGCTGGATAAAAAAAAAGTCTTTTAAAGAATGAAAAAATAGATATCAAAGTTTTTTAATTGGGGGGAGAATTTTCTTTAAATCATTCATATACTTCAATATCGCATTATTTATCTTCGAAGGGATAGCATAGAACAATTTTAAACTATACCTATGTCTGATAATGAATATCATAAAATATTTAATAGCAATTAGTGCAAAGCAACTCGTGAAACTAAAATATTAAATAGAAAGATCTAATGAATGTTATATTTTTAAAATAAGGAAATCGATCTAAAAAAGCGAAAAATATGTCATAAAATTCCAAACACTAACTCAATAAAATGATCAACATGCATTTCAATGTTTTTATATTTATTACTGAATTCCATACCTTTTAATTACACCATAAAATACGTGAATAACTGCATAAAATCTGTCGTAAAACAAATAAAGAATATTAATTTCTAAAACTATGAAAGAAGTTCATCCGATTTAGAATCCATGGAATACAAGCATGTTTAGAAATGACAGACAGCTGTCTGTTCGGAATCGTTCGTAAAATTCCACTACCGATTAAACTCGGAAGATTGCGCAATTTTTGAGCTTGAATGCCCGCCGTTTTATAACCCTAAACTTTGGCGATCAGCTGAAATGGGTGATTGCCAAACTAATTCTATCGCCAAGAGCTTGAATGCCCGATTTTTTTTAAGCGTGGTGAAAATGGCGAATACGTTTTATAGCTCATCCCTCCCCCTTTTTTTTAAAGTAATAAATTTTTTCAAAAAGGAGTTATTTTTTCGATTTGGTAGGAAAGTTACGAAAATATTAACGATCACGATAATCATGTCTGTAAAGTCAGAGTTTATTATCGAGCATGTTAGTAATAAATTATGATTATAATTTTTTAAAGCATTCTACGCTATATCTATTATTAATTTTATATAAAGTCTAATACATTATTTTACAAACGTAAGAAAGTTCTGCATTGAAAATATTAAATGTTTGAAAATAAACTGATTATTAGTTAACAGATGGCGCTTAAAAACTTTTGAAAAATACTGAAATAAACATTTTAATCACTCCTATACGAAATTTAATTCTTTTAGAATATACTTATGATAAGAAAATTTAAATATTGAAAAATATTTGTTAGCGAAATATACTGCAGAAAGAGTTTAATAAAAATTTAGTTTTACATTATAGGAAGTTTTTTTTAGGAATAATTGTTTCACAATTATTTTACTCATTCTTTGATGATTTTCTTTTAAATGAATATAGATGGCGCCATATATTTGTTCTACATGGATAAAATTTCGAAGCAACGTTTCGAAGTAAAGGAATACAAATAAAACATTTTCTTTTGTTGTGATAATTCATAATCCTATTAATTTTTTAAATTTTTGTCCATTTCGTTTTTGTTGGAAGCGTATCTTTGTACAGTTATATTTTCAGATGACAATTTGCTTAGAAAAAATTTTTATTATCAATTTTGGAAACTTGTTGTCTGCTTGACAATTGAAAAAAAAAAGTACAGGAAAGATTTGTTTTTGTTTCCTCTGTTATTTATAACCCTATTAATTTTTTGTTCATTTCGTGTTTGTTGGAAGCGTATCTTTGTACTGTTATATTTTTATATGACAATTTGTTTGGAAAAATTTTCATTTTCACTTTTGCAAACTTGTTGTATGCTTGACAATGGAATAAAAAAGCATAGGAAAGATTTGTTTGTGTTTCCTCTGGATGTGTTAGGAAGGATCCAAATAAAAATACGAATTATTTTGTTTTTTTAACGTATTTGCTAACTTTATTTTATAACTGATTCATTTTATATTATTTTACACTTAATTATAAGACAATGATCCAACAGATCCTCGGTAGTATAGTGGTCAGTATCCCCGCCTGTCACGCGGGAGACCGGGGTTCGATTCCCCGCCGGGGAGGATATAATATTTTTTTCAATCTTTTGTTCACTTTTGAATATTTGACTGATAATTAATAAGGTGATTGTATATTTATGAAAATTTGCATCATTCATTTTAATTCTTTTAATTATATACAGAGTTTTAGGGCAAATCATTTTTACACCTTTGATCGAGTCTTTTAAACAAGAAGGCTTCAAGACAAATAAATAAATAAAAGAAGAAAGAAAGAAAGGTTATAACTATTATATACATTCGCGAAGTTTTATATGTAGCAATTATAGTTATAAAAAATAGAGAATGTTAATTGGCATTTTAAAAACATTGATTTATGCATGTTTAAAAATATTGTATGATTCATTATTTAAAAAATCGCTTCATTCTGTCATATATGTCAGTTACATGATTTTCTTTGGGTAAATATAATTTGCTTACAGCATCCTGATGTTTCAATACTTTCTGAACTGATTTTTGCAAATTCGTAAAAAGTAAAATTCCTAAAATGTCGCACAACACGTTTTTAAATAACGATCTATATACATCATCAAATATAGCTACTATAATTTCCTTGTTTAATTCTTTTTGTTACAAACTTACTTTACGATTCTCACCATCAATACCTAGATATATCTGATGCGGTCTCCTTTTACGAACTACGAAGATAAAACTACGAAGATAAATGCATTTTATTAGGTTTATTTTCCTTAATGTTTAAAGGACCGCATGAACCCTGTTACATTAATAAAATTAAGATGTTTGCATAAGATTTTGATTAAAATTACGAGGTAGGAGGTACTTTTTGGATTTGTCATTGATTATGGAGTATAAAGAGTAAGAAACAATTAGGACCTAATGGAGACTTCCATATAATCACTGATGAAAAGGTGAGTACAACGAATTGGTTGGGTCAAAGAATCCCCTTCAAGGGATCAACTGAAGGGTTGGGTCAAGGGATCCCCTTTATATTCTTTGCAGGGGATGCTAGTCTTCTCATTTATTTTTTTCATAATGAACAATACTTAAATAATACAAGTATTCAACATCTTTAAATAATAAATGTAATGCGTTTTTACATAATTAGATATTTACATAATTAGATGAAGAAAAATTTTTTTGTTGATTTTTCCAACCTACCTAGGTGTATATGCCCCTTAAATAATTTCTAAAATGTTTTATTTCTTTTGTAAACTATTGAAAAAATTATTATTACAGTCGAACCCCGCTATAGTGAACCGTCTGACTCAGTAATGTGTCCACTATAACCGATGGTTCACTATATCCAAATTTTTTGAAGAATATTTTTTGCATAAGACAGTTGAATGATTGAAAATTGGCTTTGCAATTTTGCATAAGTTATTTAAAAAAAGTATTAACTAATTAACAGATAATAAAGCAAAAATTGATGGAAAAAGTAATTACGTCGCTAAATATTAGTTTTATTTTCACTTTTTATGAAAAAAATTTGTGATTTTTGATTGAACACAATTTGATTTTAAATTGAGTTCATCAATTTTCTTATCTACAATGTGCAAAGAATGCAAGATTTTTACATTTTGAACAAGATTTCGAACCATCTTAACAAAGCATCTTCTACGTTTTCTCTTTCAGCTCCACGCAGTTTTTTCGATGAAACCATGTTTTTCGTTAAGAATCGAATTCAG